CATGGGGTATGCACGGGTGGGCACAGATGGAGTGCCACCATCCCACACCACTGCCTCACAGGAACAGGGCTGGAGTGAGGCAAGGGCAGCGGTGCCCCTCTGTGGGCCAAACGGGGGAGAAGCTTGCACATGGTGGCCACCACTGCCACCTACCACCCTGTGCTGCTGCTCCATGTGCGGCTGCCACCCTCCCCCTCCCATGCGACCAGCTGCTGCTACCCTCTCCCCCCCCCAGCTCCTTAACCAGCCGCTGGGGGTACACTGCTCAAAAAAGTTTGAAAATCCCTGCCCTAGGCTATAAGTCTAACCTTGAGACTGAAACCTTTGAATAAACTTTCAATATGTCTACAGCTATAAGCTAAAATATCTAATCACATGTAAAAGGACAAAAAAAAAAGTGCTCTTCAGGATACTTGCTAGTTGTACACTGTGTTGAGGCTTGTTACATTAATTCAACTACTATCCATAGGTTATGTAAAGTAATCTTTTTGTATCTCACTGAATCTGCATCTTGATGGTGATTCATGCTCTTTGCGTGATGAAGCCGACTTCCATTCCCCCTAACACAGGTGCGTGTGATGAATTCTGGTTTGAGGTATATTATTATTTACTGTTGATGTTATTTCATAAATTCAGTTTTGCAATCCTAATTCAGAATCTCATGGTTTCTCTGAGAAAATTCTTTTATTAAGTCAAACATTCCTCAAGGAAACTGAGGCAAACTAAGGACATCAATAATAGACTTGTTGTATTCTACTCCATAAATGGGTGAAGTATTGTTTTATTCAACATTAAAAATGATGTCTTCTGATCATGTCAATGAATGAATGAATTTTTTTTTTCTAGCTTTCATCTGGTCATAGATCACCTTTAGGTTTTTAGGAGATTTGTTAACAAGCTTATGGAAGCACTTAATATACAAAAAGGAAAAAGAAAAAGCCCCTCTAAAGTTCCAAGACAAAAGGGTATTAATATTCAGCCTGAATACTAGTATTTCCAGTTCTTGTCATTAAAGTCAGTGCTTGCGCATACTTGCAAGGTAGTAGTAAGACACCATGCATTATTTCCCATTCTAAATAACAGGAAGTCCCTAGGATTTCTGAGATCACTGTGTGATTGCAGTTGCCCTTTTTAGCTTTAACCATTATACGAGGGAAATAAGTACACATAACTAGTACATATTGGCTGTCAGGTGGCTGTAAAATTTAATGAAAAGGATTGACTGTCAGACTTATATGAAGCTTAGGGTACATATGAATTGATTTTGGTGCCACAAACTCTTGGAAGCCAGTGTGGTCTCTGGCCCTCTCAATTTATAGGCAGTCTAGTCAGATTAGAGATGAAGCAAATGCTCTTTTTGAGGAGTGGAATAGTCATGCAGCATCTTCATTTGTGTACCTTACCCTGTTTTATTACAAGCTGCGCACCTTGTAATAAAACACCTACATATTTTTCATAGAATCACAGAGCAGGAAGGGATCATGTGGTCCAGGCCTCTGCAAGGCTGCAGTATTCATTATTCCTAAATCATCCCAGACAGATGCCTAGCCAGCCTCCTCTTGAAATCTCCAGTGAAAGCAATTTCACAACTTCCCTTATCAGTTTATTCCGTTGCCCCACTGCTCTCACATTTAGGACATTTCTTCTGAGGTTTGATCGAAATCTGGTTTGCTATTGTTTATATCCATCCGGCATTGGATTCTTTCATAGTTCTGAGCGGCAGAGATATGCTCATATAATCATCTGAGCATAAAAGTACAATGTTAGAGGTTTTTGATAACCTTATTTTTAAATGACTGATATGTCAAGCCTATGTGCACTGACTAGGGAGCTTTGTGTCTGTAACAATCCAATTCCTGCACTCTTGTTCTCTTACCATGGGATGCTTGTGGAGAAAGTTCTCTGCCCATACAGACATTCTGCTCTTCTAATTTGTGCTCTGCTTCTACACCACCACTACTTTCATTGCCCCAGAGGTCCCTGGATCTAAAAGATAAGCCACATGACAAAGGATGAACAAGAAGTAATGGAGCAGCAAAAAATATGCTGAGTCCATGGACGTGATTAAACCCATCTGCTTTCTCCTACCCTGGTCTCTTCTTTCCTTTCTTCATATTTTAGTAGCTCCAGCTCATTTCCTTAGTTCCATTCTGCTTCTTACACAAGGGCATGGCATCTGTAGTAAGTGTTGGTATTGTCCAACCCTTTATGGCATAATGCTGCATTTGACGTACTCCATTGTGTTGCTTCCCCCCGTCCCTTTCTTTACAAAGTTAATCCAGTAAGTGAAATGCTACAGCCTTGAAGATGCATTCCACTCCATGCTGGTTCTGCCATGCTGGCAGCAGGATGTTTATTATGTAGTGTGGTCTGCTGCTAAACTGTTCCCAGTGAGTGCTGCAATTTTCCTTGTTACACTTGGTTTGGAGGAGCAGTAAAGGGTATAGCTAGCAAACTAGGAAATTGCCTGGTGACAGATGTGTAATCCACTGACCACTGGTGCACATAATTTGTGATAAGGAGTGAGAAGCAAAGAAGCCACAGAAAATGGGAAAGATCTGACTAAACCTCTCACAGGCCTGTGCCTCTTCGCTCACTGAAATAAAAAACATAGAATTATATGTGAATAATAACAATGCTTTGTTTCCTTTTCTAATAAATACTGGCTTTCCAGATGATGCAAGACTGTATTGTCTTTTCTTCTCTGAATTATCATCTCATATTATTCATAACTTATTTTAGGTCCCCCATCCTACAAAGGGATCCACCAGCATGGGCCTTTTTTCCCATATGTGCTGATATCAAAGTCAACTGTGCATGTGAAAGTCTGTGTGGCTGAATCCATTTGTAGACTAAAGGCATTAAAGATGTGAGCTTTCTAAAGTGTTGTGTGCACTTATGTTGCTTTATAAGCAACAAAAATAATACAATAGCCTTTTCTACCTTGCTTGAAATCACATACTGTTCTTCTGTATCTAGCATCATAAAGTGTCTTTTTTTTTCTTAAAAGACATGGCATTTCCCCCCCTAAAGGATGGGCAACAAAGGCAGACAATAATGGGGTCAGCAGCAATCATGCATTTTCTGGACAACTGGTGGGAAACTTCATGGAAAGATCAATGCAAAAATCACTTGTTCCAGACTTGGGGAGATGACTGATTCGCTGTACATTTTCACCAACCTTATATGGTTGCTTGTTAGAATGGACACTTGCATTTCTATCAAAGTTACTCTTGTGCTGGGTAACTTTAGTTTCAAGGGAACGTCATAGGTAGAGGATGACAACTGGATGATGATATTCCAAATTCCTTTTCTTTTCTACTGTTATCTTTGACAAGGGGGAATCCAGATTCTTTGTTTCCAGACTCTTTTACCACCAGGTGCTTTATTTCCCACAACCACATCAGCGCCAAGAAAGTTAGGGATTCTGCCTGGCTCCTGTATCTGGCAGTATGCAGCAGATGGTACAAATGGGAAGCATGTCTTTTTTGTATCTCCTGGAATACATTTTCTGTAATATTATAAACAAACAATCCCATCCTGCCAGCCTCCTCCCTTGTGCTTACAAATAATATTATAATAGAGAATGGTGTATCCTAATTTTTGTTGCGGTCCTTGTGTTTTTCCAGTGTACTCGATCACAAATTTCCATTCAGCGAAGTAAATACTTCTCAGAGCTCACTGTTTATCAGTGGAAATTGTTATGAATAAAAACCACCTTATAGTAATGTTAATTGGACCAAGGCTAGACTGGCAAGACTTGCTGAAGTACTGAAGGGGCTTGGGTTAGGGTTTCACCAGTATGTTGTCACTTAAAATTTCTACCAAGAGACTCCAGATTTCCCACAGAAGGAGAATGATTCAATTGAAATAACTGTGCACAATTCCAAAATTCACTGCAACTAAAAATACAGAGAACTGGTTATCCAGCTGGAGGTCATAAAGCTCAAGTTAATTACTAACAGTACCATGGCAAGGATGTTTGGCACCTGGGGCAAAGCCCACAGCGGCAGCCCACCTTCACCCTGTGCACAGATCCAGGGGGCACACATCCCTCCCATGCTTGCCCGGGAGCGCACACAGCAGCGGGAGCCGCCCTCTCCCTGTCCCTGCCCCCTCCCCAAATGAGCCACTTGCGGCTCTGTCCTGGGCCCTGCCCCAGCTGGGCAGCACCTATTGGTGCCACTTCGCTTCAGTGCCCAGGGTGGTCGCTCTGCTCGCCCCCACCCCCTTGTTACAGTACTGATTACTAACCTGTTTATCCTCCTCAAGGGATAAATACATAAAGTTAGAATGTGCCTAAAATTCAAGACACCTTACTGAAAGACTATCATAGGACTAAGGACTATTTTCAGAAGTGCATAAGTGAATCAAGAATGTAGAGAATTAGGAGTGTAAGGGCCTTATCAAAATCATTCTTGTGGGTTCCTCCCTTCAGGCAGCAAAACACCTACACATTATTATAGGTGACTTTGATTCTTCTTTCTTATTTAGTACGTGATTTACTGCATTTTTAAAAAGTTATTTATTAGCTATTGAAATTCCATATATTTATACAATGTGATCCACTTTCCACTGAGAGAACCTATTACCTATTATTGTTATAAAAACCCTATATGTATCAGATCCAGTTTTTGATTTCCAAATCCAGGTAATTCTCTAATCAAAGTGGATTTTTACTGGGATATTGAAAGTACCTTTTTCCTCCCCTAAGGACAATTTCTCTGCCAAATTTCAGGTTTCTACCCTTGGTTCTGTGTTAGATTTGTTTAAAAAAAGGTCACAAGCATTACTTTTATAATAGAACAGTGTAATTTGTTTTCATTCTCCTCATATTAAGAAGTGTCTGGATCACATTTTCCTCAATCTTTCCAGGAACATTTATCCTTTTCCCATGGCTGACCCTGGAAAGTGAGTTATGAGCTACATCAAAGTACCTGGATGTGGGGGGGTGGGACGACAATTTATACTGTAAACACCTAATCTATGGCACTGACTAAAGAAAGCACTTATGCACATACTGAAATCTGGTGGCACTTAAACATGGTTATAAGTCCAGTAGACTTCACTAGAGTTAAATCACCTACTTAAGTACTGACCTGAAGGAGGGTCCACAGTTATTACCAGCAATCCATTTATAACATGTTATCCTAAAGAGCATCCTAATGTATTCCTCAATGAAAATACAATGGAGTGGTTTATTCATATTACTGAATAAGAATGTGACTGATTGACTGTTCTGTATTGTCTATGTCAGAGAGTAATAAAGTTCTACCATTAACTTATTAATTCTTATTTAGAAATTTTTCATATAACCGACATGTTATTTTGATGTAAGTAAGCACTCTATCTTTTTGAACATTTTTTTTTGGTCTGGAGGGGACAACTCACATAGCACTGCCAATTGGCCAGGATTATGAGACATATAACTCATGTAAAAAATCTTTTTGTAGTATATAGATGATTAATAATAGATTCAAATATCAAAAGAATAAGATGTATTTCATCACTTAATTTGGGGGAAACACGCAGAATATTGTCCCTGTAACAGCAGTAGCATAGAGCTGCACTCTAGAGGGGGAGTAAAGACAAAGTAGCTATGATGGTGTTGTTGAGCTTTAATTCTTTTTATGACAATTCATAAGGAATTTCCCTAACCCAACTCCTGGTTAATCACAGCCTCTTCCTGACAGTTTCCTTGTACTGACTCATGTGGATTTAATAGTGTTTGTGGGGGGCACCCAGCTGATAGAGCTCACTCTTGTAAGCTGCTTACATGAGTGTATATTTTTCGTTTTGAATGTCATGTCTTCAGCAAGCTGTTTGCATTTATGTGATTTTTCTCTCCTTAATTCCTGTCTGTCTAATGCATTTATTATTGGAGGTTGAACACGTGGATTCAAAGTGACAGCTCAACCGCCTTCTTTCTTGCTGCTTCTTGGTAAAGCTGAACTGTGGACATTATCTTTCTATCCACTCTCTCTGGTTCGTCCCTGTCCCTTTAGGTTGTCTCTAAATCCTGCCACATCTTCTTCTAGAATATCTGCAAATTCTTTTACTTTCTGGCTATGAAAACTGTTGGTATTTCCCACTTGGCCAATGCAACAGCTTTCTGAGTGTACATCCTGGCAACTCTTCACCTCGTGTTTTGTCTGTTGTTCAAGACAGGTAGGAAGGAAGACAGAACACAAGAGATGGACTGAAACTTTGACTCATCTGGGAACTATTCTGCAATAACTCACAGTACAGGGCATCATTCTTTCCCTCAACTATTCCACCTGGTGAGTGCTTCAGCCCTTCACTCCTCCTTTTCCTCTACTGCAATCCCCTCTCCCAAGCACACTAATCAACTGCTCACAGCTAGGTAGATGACACGAAGGGCTTTCAAAAATGTTTTACTTGGATATTTGTCCTGTTTCTTTTAATTATATTTAGTATTTAAATGCAATTCTGACTGACTTCAAACCATCTATCTACACAGGTAGGTGAAATCTCATCCACTGCCTCTGTTCTGCACCCTGAAGAAAATGCTCTGCATTGTTGGTCTTCTGCTCTGCACAGACCAAAGCCAGGAAATTAGGGCCCGTAGCCACCTTACAATTGCATTTAACATAGCCCAAGGGCATGTTTTATTGTGAAACTCCTGTGGGTGTCATGGAGAGAGAGTACATGTGCCCAGCGAGTCTGTCTAGCCCCATTTCCTCCTACTGTATTCCCCCTCCTAGTCTTTCCATTTGTTTATTATACCATTTGTTGCAGATTTTCTTAACTCAGTTCTTTGCTTTGACAGTTATGTCAAGTTACTCTGTTCCAGTTAACTTTGCGGGTGTGAGCAGCCACACTGACTCATAACCCTTGGGTTATATAGAGTGATTGGATTAGCAGTGGGAATGGGTTTGTGGTTTGTTGTTAACTGAAGCTCCTCACCGTGTTGATTGCTTGAGCCTCAGCAGCAGTGGACCTTCAACCCACTTACCCCAACAGGCAGCTTGTTCCAATTTGAAGAACCACTTAACTTAAAATTAAGGCAAAGTTATACTTAGACTATACTAAAGGCACTTAAATCGCAAGCATCCACAAGGTAAGGCTGGTTAATTCGTGCTAAGTGCCCTCCAAGCATCCTGAAGCTACTTCAGGTAAGGGTTAACTCTGAGCTACGCTACCTGCTGATGTTAGGGTAACTTCAGTCTGCTTTATGGAGATAAAACAAGCAATTTGCAATCCTCCAGCATCCCAGGATGCACAATCCCAGGCCCTCTCCTCCACCCAAGACAGGGGTAGAGGTCAGGTGTCCTGGTTCCTAGCCATATCCCTGCTTGCCAGCCCTCTAGTGGCAGGTCATAGCTGTGCAGGCATGAAATGGGATTAACCCATTACATGCAATTATTCATATCATCTTGTAATTTTAACATTGCTTAACATTGCACAGATTTAGTATGGTTATAAGTGTAACTTCACTTTTAGGGGCCAGACTTAGGTTATACCTTGAACTAACAATGCAGCAAAGACAAACCCTAGATTGTAATATCTTTAGCACTGGGATTGTCTCCAAAGAATACTGGAACAGCGCTTAGCCCAGTGGAGTTTAAATCCTTGTTGCCTTGACAAGCTGCTATAAGCAATAAGTGGACTTGCCAAAACACACAGCAAGCACCTGCAGATATTAGGCAGATTAGGCTGTAGTCCTGATGTTGCAGTAGTGTGTATAAAGAGACTGGGTTGTTGGTTGTAGGATGTTGGTCTGAGGACAGAGGCAGACAAGGTTCTTTGGGTAAATGTGATATCTTTTATTAGACCAGCTAAATAGTTGGAAAAATTGTTCTTTGCAAGCTGTTGGGCACAAGCACCTGACGAAGGGTGTTTGTGCCCAGAAGTTTTCAAAGAACATTTTTTCCAACTATTTAGTTGGTCTAATAAAAGATATCACATTTACCCAAAGAACCTTGTCTGTAAAGAGCCTGTACATTCTTGGGCTGAAGGAAGGATTATTTCTCACGTCTCACCCCTATGCAACTCTCTAATTCTGTGCAAAGATACTTACCCTTGGCCCTGTATTTTCCGTGCTTTCATCACCAGTTACTAAAAGCATTGCAACATACTCTTTACATTAAAATTTGTGTGTGGCTTGCCTCACCTCCTCAGCCAGGAATTTCATAAATAAATCACTGTCTTTCAAACCTGTTTGCAGGCTGCATCTGTCTAAAGTGTGTGCGCTTCAATAAGTGTGGCTGACAGAGAAATTAAAAAGAAAAATCATTTCCGAAACAGGAACTATAAGAGACATGTTGAGCTAAACACACACTGTGCATTATTACAAGAAAAACATGCTTTGAGAAAGTGTGTTCTGAAAGCGGAGGTGACGTTTTGTTTTTCTAGAGTCACCAGGCTAGAACTTTACCTAGTGTAAAATGACAAAGATTCGCAAAAATCAAACTGAATCAGGCCAGCTGAGGATCTATCTCATTGAATTTTAACCATCAATTTATTGAAGCATTTTTTTTTATAGGAAGCAACAGCTGTTTTATCGTGATGCATCTTGGTACAGCAAGTCATTCAGCATATCTGAGGAATGACAAGAGGTTGGGGATCATCATGGAAGCAATTACCAGGGTACCCAACCCGTAGAAGAGAACGGGGACAAAAAGCACCTGCACAACTTCTGTGTGGTTCTGCACAGATATTTTTGAATCCAAGTCTTCAATTTTCTTTCTTAGCTGAAAAATTTTATTTTCCATTTTTTTAATCCAAGGGGAAAAAGTAAGAAATGTTCATACATAATCTCTATAAAATCATTTTTCCCCATGTGTGGCAATATCTTCCATGGATGAGACTACTTTTCCAACAAACTCTAGTAATACAACATCCTGGCAAAGTTCAGAGGTTAGTCAGATCATTTGAAAAAGAACTTTTCAGGAATGCTAGCTAGAATGTTTTAAATTAATATGAAGAATAGATCAAGGAACTGATATGAAAAAAAGTGTAACTAAGGTGCCTAATTGCCACCTGTACCTTTGAAAAATATCTTTCTTAAATCTTTATATTGTATTAACTTTTCTCCAGATGCTGCCTCATCTAACCTCATTGGCTAAAGAAGGTCCTAAATTACTGCGGACATGGTGTGGTTCTCTTATGCAGGGGTCCTGTTGTCTTCTCAGGGCATTTGGGCAATGAATAAATGTACTTGTAGATACTTTGACTCTAGACCACCCAAAATACCTCGTGTGGTTAACTGCAGGGGACAGAAGCAACAAGCCATGAATGCAAACTATGAAATATAGCTACATTTATCATTGGACAGCAGCCCTGAAGCACTGGTGGCTATAGGAGGCCTGAGGGATCTCAGTAACCATAGTTTGCTTAACAGGACTGGTGATCAAAGAACTTGCCCTCATTCATGCTGTGAACTACATCTCCTTCCCTTCCCATTCAGCCAGGCTCCATGTCTAAGAAGGGATAAAGGGAGAACCTGTGTAAGCAGATGGTCAATAAAATCCCAGACAGGCCCATTTTGAAGACTACTTATGCTTTAGTAACTGGGCTCGATATAGGAGGTCTTCAGTAAACCTTTGTATTATAGGCAGAATGGTCATTCTTACATCTTACTTAATGTCTTCCTTTGTCAGGACTCCTGTTCATGCAGTTTAATTTTTCTCAAATGTAAAGCACTTGTCCCAAAATGAAAGATTCTGTATTTTGCTGAATAAGAAATAGCCTTTGAAGCCATTTCATTTTTCATTATAGTGTTACAGATTACCTGATAGTCATGCTGGGCTTGATTCTCACTTTCACTAAAGCTACTTTACATCAGTCTCACAAAGGGGCTTTGAAACATGCATTAATTACATTCACATTCACTTGAAGGCCAGCATTCGTGCCAGAGAGGTATAAAACCAGCCTGGTATACTTGAGAATCAGGTTCATTGATTCCAAAAGTTGGTTTTACTTAAGTCTTACAGGATAAGGACCTCTTTTTACTGATTTTTTCATATGTACAGTTTTATGATTACATTGTGGTCATAAATAGCTTAACTATTAAAATAATGCCTAGTATGCTTCATCTTCTCTTTGTTTTCTTGCTACATGCCACATGCTTCTGAGTATATATAGTTTTAGTTAGACTTAATATCACTGTCCACACAGCATATTATTTTCTGTTGTGTAATAAGGAGAGTTCTTCATTAGTTGCAGCTGTCTCAGTGATAGCAAAAAAACCTTATACAGTAAGGAGGGCATTTTCAAATTTGGAACAAGGCTTTATACCATTAAAATGTATATGTATACTTTAATATGTATACTTTAATCAATATATATTTATAGTTTTATATATGTACAAGTATACATATGTATTGATTAAAGTATACATATATTGATAAGTATATATATATGTTATATATGTATATTTATTAATTAAAGTGTGTGTGTGTATATGCTTTAATATGTATATGTATACTTTAATCAATAAATATACAGTTACCACTGAAATCTATTCTGAACTTTTTTTTACTTGATTTTAAATCAACCTTTTTTTTCTTGACCTAATCAGAAAAAAGGAACAGTAATCATATGCTGTAAAGTGGTGTGTTCTTTTGCATAAAAGATTTTCCACATTACAGCAGGGGGCCTTCTCTTGATATGTCAGTAAGAAGAAGAAAATTCATTTCTTACATCAGCCTGTCATTTGCCCTTTTATGATTGAACTAGATACCATTAGACAACCACAAATAATGACAAAAGCTTTTGCTACTGAATAAATCCGATGTTTGTACTGTTTTTCTGAAATTTGGGATTATTGGGGTTCAGGCTGTAGCCAACAATCTAGAAAAATACATAAAGAATAACCAATGTGCAATCATACATGGCAGCATAATGAAAGGGTGTAATGATTAGCGTCTTTGATTAATTGTTTTCAATATTGCTTCTGTTTCATTCTAATATGTTCCAGGTGTTAAGGAAAGCATTTTTTATTTGATTTTTTAAAAACCAAATATTTTTAAAAGCAGAATAATGAGTCAAGTTCCTTTTTCAATCTACTCAAATCCTTTAGAGCTGAAAACAGTTCATTGTTGTCTGTTTTGTCAGAAACTGGACCTCTTAAGCAAGACTTCTCTTGGAGTTAGTGGGAATTTTAGGAGTACAAGGGCTACAAAATCACCCCCTCATAAAGCAAAATATCTGTACAGGTACTATAGTAAATCAGTTATAATAACCTTACCATAGTTTATGGAGAATAAAGAGAACTTGAAAATAGAAAAATATACTACATTTTCTCAATGCTGTAGTGTTTTTCCTACATGTAGGGAACAAAGAACTTTTACATAATCTGCTTCTCTAACTTTCTGCTTGAGCATTGTAAGTATGGGCTCTCATCATAGTCAGTGTTAGCAAAGAATACTGTAGTTGTTCCAGCTGTCCAGATATAACAATTAATGAGTTTTAAAACTTAATTCAGAGCTATAAGCTCTGATTAAAGGCCCTGGGAAGGTCTGACCAAGATGTCAGCTGAATATTTTTTTTTTTTACTTCTGTCATACTGTATTAAATATTTCACTCAGAATAGCACTAAAATAGCTTGAATACTAAAATAAAATATTTAAGGTTTCATTTTGAGTTTACTAGTAAAACTGATAGATTGATTGGGACAGTTGTAAGCAATACATGCACCAACAGTTATATTACTGTAAGAATGATATTTCATATCTAAACAGAATTTGACAATATTTATACACATTTGAGGACCCACAGATGGAGTCCTTGCTCAGGCAGAAGTTCCTGCACATATTTTATTCTTAAATTCACCTGTTGTGGCAACACTGAGGCTTTGAAAATTGTACCCATTTATGGCTTTAAAGAAGTCAATGCAGATAATACTATTATATATATATCTGCAATCCCTCTCAGTTGAGGATGATTATCTTCCATGATGGCTTTATCTGTAGATCCGAAGATGGCTGACAAGTCAGGTCCAGGATCAACAGACTCTGTTGCAACTTTGACACATCTTTCTGTGGAGGGTGGGTGGCTCTAGATTCTCGATTCTGTTGGCAACATGCTGTTTCTGCGGATCCTGCTTTTTTGTCTCCTGTTGCTGTAAGGGTTCAAAGTACTGAGATCCTTGCAGCAGACTGTTCCTCCATTTGGGGCAGTCCTGGGTGATAATCTCCTATGAACTGATGTTGATGTTACATTTTTTCAGGTTAGCCTTGAGGACCTTCTTGAAGCACTTTCTTTGCCCTCCTCTTTAGCATACTCTTTGACTGAGCTGGGAGACTAAAACTTGCTTCAGGAGTTTGGAGTTGGATATCTGGGTGATGTGGCTAGCCAGTGAAGCTGATGTCAGATGATCATCACCTCAATGCTCGTGATGTTGGCTTGCGAGAGGATGCTGATGTTGGTGTGTCTATCTTCCCATTGGATTCGAAGGATCTTCCACAGGCAGCATTGATGGTACTTGTCCATTGACTTGAGATGTCTCCTTCACACTGTCCACATCTCAGCTGTATACAGTAAAGTGGAGATCATGACTACTATTAGCCCCATAATTGCATACTAATAATTTTTTTACCACAACGCTATTCTGTCAGGAGCTGATGGTAAGATTTGGCTGAAGTGAAAAATGATTTTTTCTGAAGTTTTATCAAATGTTTGTCATGTGTATAACTGTTTAGAGTTTTCCAAGACTAGTGAAGAGTTCTGTCTGTAATGGATTTGATGCACTGAATTGTTTTTTTATCATCCTTTAATGCACATAGCTATGAATACATGTTGAGTTTGTATTAACGTATTTAGGTAATTAGTATTTATCCTGCACTTCTTCAGCATTCATTGGCATCATTATTAGCAGCCCAAGATCTGCAGCTCAAGATCCCAGTCAGAACTATGGCTCCATTGTCTTTGTAGCTACCTAAATTTGTGGAGAAAACTTCATACTTTGAAGAGATCAGAATCAGTCTAAGTAGTTCAGAATGAGCAAGGGCAGGGATGCCATAAACAGTGACTAGGGACTCATCAACATGTCATGTCTGAACCAAAGGAAAATGAATGAGCCATCTAAGGAAGTTGTGGAATCTCTTTCACTTTTAAAGGAGTTTTAAGGAGTTTTTAAGGAGATGATGGACAGGCATCTCTCTACCCAGAAGAACAGAGACGGGGGTTCTGGCTGTGCTGTGGGTAGGCAGAAAGCCCTGCAGCAGTGCTGGATCCCTGTCCAGCACCTGCTCTGCTCCCTCAGAGGGTCCAGGGACCCAGGGTCCTGCCAGGACTTGGACCATCCCCAGAGTGGACAGGGATTGACCACTCCAGGGAATGGCAGCAGAACTCTTACACTATCTCTTCTCCCCATCCTTCCCTTAAAGGAGAGAGATTTCTGTGCTGTGTCCATTCAGGAGCAGTACTTTGTTCCTGACATTTCCCTGGTGAAAGTTGCCCTGCCCTGGAGGGATGAGCTTTAGTACTATTCCCAGGGGAATACCAGCCAACATACTTTTCTCCTGCTCCAGGACATGGTCCCCTTGGAGGTGTTCAATACCTGGAGGGGGGCTGTTTGCTTTCAAGTCATGCAGGGGTTACTGTTCAATATGAGAGTCTGGCTCAGTGCTACCTGTGGCTCTGCTCAAGTTTGTGATTGCCACAACTATTGATGCAATGCTGAACCCATTGTGACCTGACCAAGAGAGGTTTCCCAAACCCTGGCTGCATAAGAAGACTCCTGCCATGAGCTGCCTTTGGCTTTCCAGCACCATTCTTTTGGTTTGAATACACCATGTGTGGGTGGGAGTGAAAGCAGGGGTTGCTTTGCTTTCAGGGGTTGGGGTAGCGGGGAAACTGTCTTGGACCAGGATGGAGATGCAATTGCAAGAAGGCGGGGTGGGGGTTCCTTGAGGTTTTGGTTCAGTGACTGCATGAGCCACAAGACTCAGATTTGCCTGACTCCCACAGACTTTCCCCAGGGATTAGATCAGATGGGGAGCAAGAGTGCTGGAGTGTCACTTCCAAGCCTCTCCAGACGCATGACCCAGAGTCACCCTGGCAGCAGGACCAGATTGGCTGAGATAACAGTTTCCACATGAGGCTTCTGCTATCTATCAATGCATTTCTTGGACTGGGAGGGAGGGAGAGGGGTTGTTTGGCAAAAGGGATTTTTTCTTGTTCCTGCTGTATTGCAAGTCCAGTGGTTCTCATAGATAGCTATGTGTTATCTCCTGTCCTTGACCTCAGTGTTGTCTCCTTCCACTCAGGTGCTGCAAACAGGTGGGTTGCTGACTGCCAGCACTTGTACCTGTTTTTTACACTTTGCCTGCACAGCTCAATAAACTCCTTTAGTGCTTTTCCATGAGTGCAAGGGGAAAAGGGGGTATTGTTTCAGCAGCAGTGCTCTGGGCAGCTAGAAGATAGCTCAGCTTCTTCCAGTAGCTGGGCATGGCCCTGAGAGATAAAGGACGTAGACAGAAGTGACATTTTTCACCTGATGTAGCCCCAGAAAGCTGTCTACAGCCATGACCGAACAGAAGTGCAAGGTTGCAGACTATTTTAAAAGGGTCCAATCCTGTGAAAATCTGAACCCTTAAACAGTGTGTGTTCTGCATCTTGTGTCTGTGGTTGCTGTTTTCAGAATGGGAGTGGGGAAAGGGAGCAGAGGGAGATTGGTTTGGGGTTTTTTCAGCCTGTGCTGGAGGGTGGGGTGGGTGGATTGGATTCTCCCAAGGTGGGGTTCTTGGCCACAACATCCTGGCAGAGGGCTGCAAACATAGGGCTGGCTTGTAGCAGCTACTGGTCTCCCAGGGGCTACAGGGTTGTGGGGGTGGGGGAGGGAGGAGAGAGAGGGCAGCGGGGAGAAGGCAAGAGGGCTGGGTCTGGTGACTGCCTTCTGGACACAGGCTTGTACAGAGGGCTTTGAGCTGATGCCGCTACCTCTCCATTCCACTGGCTTAGGGCACAGCCCGCACCTCCTGCTTCCCTCTGTACTTTCTGCCCAGGGGCCTTGTACTTCCTCTGATGACTGGGTCCCTTTCATGGCCACATAAAGCAGGGTAGAGCTGTACCATCCCAGGCTGGATGATGTCCTTGCTTGGTGCCAGAATCTTTACCAGACCTGGGTGGAGGGGTGGGCCTGGGTACTGTGGGTGGTGTTGTGGAAGCAGCTGCTGCACTGGTAGTCAGGGGGTGGGGGGCTCTCTGCCCATCTGGATGGGGGGCAGTGAGGAGGTGTCGGAGGAGTGGGATCAGAACATCCATGGCAACTATGTCAGAAATGGTGTGTTTGGCTGAAGTCCATGGGGTT